AAATGATGAAAAGCTACCTTCAATGGGTTCAAGCAGCAACCGATATGCACCCCGCTTGCCCTACATTTTTTTCCTTCCAACGCCTCCATGGCTTCCGCCAGGTCGTTCAACACGTTCAATTGCATGTTGCAAATTGGTTTCATCGTTAATTAGCGCATACACATGGCCGTCTGCTGATTGAGGGGCCTCAAGAGTGAACTGGTAAAGGACCTGAGTACAGTCCAGTAGGCCGTCACGAAGTACCATCAAAAAAGCCAAACACCAAAACAAAAAAACAAACCCACCAACCAAAAACAAAACACAGCAACACAAAACAAAACCGCCAAACCGAGGCGTGACAGGTGCCAGTTCATGGGCTAATTCATGCAAGAGGTGATAACATTGCATCTCGACATGGTATGGTAGCAGAAACAAAAGGAAGAACATCAAAATTACCAGGCCATACCAGAAGGTGAGTGAAGCAATAAAAGCACTTTGCGGAAACCAAGGATTCCCCCCAGCCAGGATCCCCGAGATTACATGGCGCAGCCGATAAGGCTAACAACTCACCCATAGTCACTTCGAAGCAAACAACGACAACGCCGCGTCGCAACGAGAGTGGTCTGCCGGGGTCGGCGGATACATCCAGATTTTTCTTATGTTTCATGGATTTCTATCGTTTTTCTCCTGTATCAGGAACTCTGACATCCCGCAGCATGACCTCCAGCTCGGCCTACCCGGCCCAGGCGGCTAGAGATGTGAAGTCTGGAATGATCCATGTTTAACTTGATATAACTTGATATAACTTCTATGGCCATTTCAACCCTGAAACCTTTTGGTTTCTGGGGCCGGTGGACGCTCGTTATGATATTGCTCCAATGGACCAGTGGCATTCCGTGAGTAAATGAATGCAGATTGAGTGCTGCTGTATCTCGTTCGATCTGTTCTTGGACCCAAGATCCAGCACTTTTCGCCACACTGTGGAGATTTGGAACCAGTTGGTTTTCATCACCTGGGTACAGAGAATCGATCAGGATTTCTCCTCACATGCGCTGCAAATCATTTGCCACATCACTGCACAAACTTTGGACGCCTTTGCTAGGCCGAGCCGTGGCAATAGACCCAAAGGTGCCAATTGTTTCGGGCGTGGAGATTGGGACGGATTGGGTTGAACATTTCCATCAGTTTCTTTGGGCGGAAATGTGGTGCCAGCTTGCCTCGCAGATTCTGCTGATGTCGACAACCGTCCTCGTTGGTAAACCTGCCATGGTCCAACTGATCCGTTCAGCTAGCTGGTCTGTTTGAAATTTCAAGTTTGGGGCGATGCTCTGTTCAAACAACTCTGGACAGGGTATCTTAGAACTTTGCAAGACAATTCTCTGCGAAACAGTTGGCATTCGTGCCTGTCAAGGATGAAGCAGCAGCTAAAAACTGTCAAGACCTGAGATTGTTGAATTCGCTCAGCGGGCTGGGCGGTGCTGGAGGTTTCATGATGGTTTCTTTATTTCAGGCTTTCCCATCCTGGATGGGGTAGCCATCTGGGTATCCCTGTTAACGAGCCTTCTAGCAGCTCCCAAGGGGTTGGGCTCGTGTCCCGAGGCGAGGACATCTTTCAGGCAGATGGCGTGCAATGTTTGCCGCATGGTATTCAAGTTTGCCAGGGTTTGACCCGTGCACATGACACTCCTGACACTATTTTCTGCAGCTTTGGCTTACGAAACCAGTCACTAGTCCAGGGCTGTGTTCCCCAGTGTCGTATCTGACCCCAACATCAGCTCGGGAGAGAATTTCTTTTTGATTAACTGAGGTTTACCCATCTACTGCGTTAATGTCTTCCTAATAGGTGGTACCTTCCCTTAACTTCCTTCCTTTTCGGTGGATGATCGCTCCTCTGGTTATTACCCTATCCGATGTGCCATCTCTTCTTGAAAGCTTCACTATAACTCCCGCATGTCCTCGAACACATTTAGCAGGAACATATTTGGTCACTTCATTCTGCAGAATAAGACCCATGGCATTTGCGCGCTTCAGACAAGGTGGCCATCAAGTGCCGCCATCGGTTCGAATGATAGTATATGGCCTGGAAGCTGCTCAAAATTTAACCACTACCCTAAGAGACCTCCGCCGTACGGTTACGCTTCTGCAGAGTGGTCTTGTATAGCACGCTTGACAGAGACTTAATGCAAGTGGAACGCACATGTCAGTCTATTACCCACCAACTCCTGACTGCATTGGCAGAGACACATGAAGACATAGTACAACTGGCGGCATTCAGTAGCCCAACGGATAGAGGAGTCTGGATCAATCGACTCTATTTGGTCCCTGCTGGTCCAGGTTCCTTAACTGACGGATCAGGCAGATACCCAGTCCCCCTTGATGCCCACCCGTTTCGAGTGGTAGTCAGGACTGTACAGATCATGGCCAGTTTGGGTGGCTTCATTGATACACTGGCACTTGCTGCCCCCATTTCGTCCCTGGTGGAGTTAACTTTCGTGCTCCTACGAGTGAGTAGGCCCTGGAATATCAGGACTTGGACTGAAGCTGCTGACGGCGTTGATACTATGGTGCGACCGGTGTCCCAAGACACTCTGCTCAGAGATGTGGTCAGAGAGCTCCAACCATTTGTGCGCATTCAGATCCTTATGCAGGACCCACCCACTGCATTGGTAAGTAACTCCACCAGTGAGTTGCTATCCCCGAGGGTTGTGCTGCTGTGAAAAGCAAGCAGTTGATGGAAACGGCACTCAAAAACAAAGCAATATGAGAAGAGGATGCTGAAGCTGACTTGCTACATTAGGTAACAGGTTTCTTTATCAAACCAAAGCTCACCTCTACCTTTACGCTCGCGTCCCTGGTTGCGCGTTGCTTACAAAAAAAAACAAATAAACTTAAAATATATATATATATATACAAACACTCAAGTAAGTATATACATATATATAAATAAAACGTGAAGCCGACATGGAGGATTGCACATCGTGAAAGTGATTGCACGGCTGACGTCTTGAAAAATCACTCTGTAACTTTTTTCTCACCTTTAGGTAATTGGGGAGTCGGCACGCTTTCGTGTTATGCGTAAGACATCTTTATATCTCACGCCCGGAGAGGGTTGGGAGGGCGGGTTGAACTCCGGGTAGTGAGAACTTTTATCCCACCCACCCTCCCTTGAAATTTAAAAACGCGGTGAACGACTTGTCATAACATTCCACATGAATAAACTCACAGCACACTGAAGTTGGACATGTTAAGAAGTTCAGGACCGCAAATTTCAAAAACAACTTCAAACCACAAAAGATTCAAGTTGTTTAAAACGGAGGTTTCAGAAGTCAATCTTCCAGAAACTTCGAAAGCGAACGCGGAGGGGAGGACGCAGCACGCGTAAGGAAGAGGACGGTGGCTCCCACCTGTGAGCTCGGTTTTATAAAGGCTCATCACTAAAGTGAGACGCAGCTTATCAAACCAAAGCTCACCTCTACCTTTACGCTCGCGTCCCTGGTTGCGCGTTGCTTACAAAAAAACAAATAAACTTAAAATATATATATATATATACAAACACTCAAGTAAGTATATACATATATATATAAATAAAACGTGAAGCCGACATGGAGGATTGCACATCGTGAAAGTGATTGCACGGCTGACGTCTTGAAAAATCACTCTGTAACTTTTTTCTCACCTTTAGGTAATTGGGGAGTCGGCACGCTTTCGTGTTATGCGTAAGACATCTTTATATCTCACGCCTTGCCACCCCATTTCACCCGATCGTGAGATTGTAACATGGTGTGCATCTTTTAAAGCCTTGTCTTTCAAGTTCCTCGAAAACAAGTCGTGACGGGTCGTCACTGAGATTGGATCGGGATGGTACTCTGGAGTACCAATGTAGGCACTGAAGTTCTGTGTCCAATCGAGCATTAATCACAAGCATCTCAAAGTTGTCAAGCACTGGCGAGTACGACCTGATGAGCGTCGCAAGAGAAGAATTGTTGTCGATGAACCAAAGGATTGAACGTCCCTTCAAGGCGTCTTTCCAAGTATTCTTTGCTATGATCACCGGGAAGAGCTCAGCTTGACAAATCAACTGTTTGCGCCCTTCTGACTTCCATTTCAAGGTCCATTCGGACGGGATCTCATCACCAAACATGAGCGCCAAATTCGACTCAGGGTCAAATAACACTGCACCATGTGTCACCAAAGCACCCTCGTTCTCACAGGCACCATCTGTAAATAAAAGGATGGGAGCCCTTCCAGACCAAGCCTCCACACGTCTTGGTTTTGAGTTAACTAAGCAGTGCATGGCTCTCACAATGACATGTTTCAGCTGTTCATCAAGGAGTACCAAAGGGCCTCGTCGGGCCACCCGAGATATCAGTTGAATTGCCAATTGAGTACATCTTCCAAAAGTATGCCCTGCGGCATACAAGAGACGACCCTTGAGGGTCTCAAGAGTCGAGAGAGCCACTGTCTGACTGTTACAAATGATGTTGACCAAATCTTGCAAGTCAGAAATCCTGGAAGGTTTGTTGTGTACCGATACCACCCCTTGCGTAGCACCTGATAGGTCAATAACAGCACCAAGAAGGTTGAACTCTTTCGCAAAGGGGCCGCGTTTGTCTTCTGACATTGATATCCTCCATCCCAAAAGGCGCATAACCAACTCTGCAGTCTGCCATGCCGAATCGCAAAGCTCACTCCGTTCAAGCTGACAGAAATCATCAAAGAAATTTGTGTTGACTACGCAGAAAAGCTCAGATAAAATCAATCTGAGGGCACGTGCCATGCGGTTGAATGCCATGACCGCACATATTGACCCAAACGGCAGTGCACAGGATTCATAGTATTCAACTGTAGAAGTCTCCAAATTCCAAACCGCCAAAATTGATGCCCAGCTGTCATCGGGATGCCTTGCTAATTGCTTGTAAGCGCTTTTCAAATCCAGCGCTCTTCCCATGATGTCAGTCCAGGGGCCCTTGAAGAAACGCACGGCCGGGTCACACCACAAATTTTCAAAAAGGTCATCAGCCCTAAGAAAATCGCAGCCAATAAAAGTTCTTGCGGTGTTGACGACCTCATCCAAGCCAAACAACTGAAGTTTCTCTGTAGAGGTGACCGATGCGTTGATCAAAAATTCAGAAAAATCATCGACTGCTCGAATTTTTCCTCCTTGCCGCACTCCGAAACGTTTGGATGGCACCCAACAACCATTATATTTCAAATCCAAATCCGTGGCCGAAAAGGGACCACGTACCCACCCATCCTTCAGTTGCTGTTGCGTCTCTTCAAACACAGCTTTTGCAATCTCAGGATCTGAACCGATCCTACGGCAAGATGAGTGGATCATCTTCTTTGCCCAAACGGAAGATTCTCTGAGTTGTTGAACTGAAATCATCGCAGGTTTCAACTTCGCAGGAAATTGCTTTGACTGAGGCATCTCACCAGTCAACCTGAACCCTTCCGTTAACTCCTGGAAAAGAGTTTCATCGCCAACATTTGCGTCAGCGGCCATCTCCTTAAAAAGTAAAAGTCGCTTCCCGTCCAAAACGCGTCTTACGTCCACATCCAGCGTCTTTTTGAACTGAAGTTCTTCCGCACCCAATTGAGCGGCTCGTGACATGTACTTCTTGAGTTGCTTTGCTCTGAATTGTACAACCTCTGACGCACTGTGGTCTCTTATAAATAAAATTGCTTTCAAATTGCATTGGTCCACATTGTGGGGATTGTCCAGAGGGTGTTCAAGAGTCAATGCTCTGTGCAGAAATTCAAAAGGAGACCTAAAAACTCCAAAGGTTGAGACTGTACTGGTTCTCTTCTCGCCCTCATCCCCCACTTCAGACACATATCGAGAAGAAATCAGCTTTGAATGGATAGGAATACCCTGGAATGGAGGGTGCACTGACTCACTTATTTGAGAAGGAATGTCCACATTCTTGGAGGTCACGTCAATTTTGAACTTGAAGTCTCCCAACAAAAGTGGTGCACGCCCTCCACGCGGCTGCAGGCCTGAGCCCATGCGCTGAGCTTGTTCCATTTGAAGTGGTATTTGGGCAACATCCTTGCCTTGCTGTAGCAGTCTATCCACAAAAGCTGATGCCAGTTGCTTGCATAGTCCCGCAGGGTATTCTGTTTCGAGACTGGTCGAAAACTTGATCTCAGAAAAAACACCATCTTGTACAAGACCCCAAGGTAAATGTTGGTGCTTGTCATCACATTCCAGCAACAATTTTTTTGCATGAAAATTCAAAAGAAACGACGTTCTCTTCTTTCGTTTGCCGCCGTACATACAGGAGTGGATATGTTGGAAACGGCAAACTGATGGCGGGTCACAGAAGAAATCGGTCTTCCACATCCAAAGACCGGCGTGGGTTCTCGCAAATGACAGGGATGTCCATCGCCACGCACAAATTTATGACCCGTCTTGCAAATGAATATAAACGGTTTGCAGCTTGAACTTTGAGCTTGGCTACGCCTTTCAAATTTGGCAACCCCATTGGAAACTGCTCTGACCGCAATGGCGCAGGTTGCATGCCCTTACGCAAGCGGTGTCTTTTTGGTATTGGTATTTCTCTGGCTCGCGATGCTGTGCCGCAAGGAGGGGCTAACATAACAGCGTCCACCTTTCCAGATGAGATCCATCCCATGATGGTTTCCTGTCCATCCTTCTTGGTTAAATCGACCTTTGAGACAGGACCTTTCACTCTGCGCTTATCAATGATGTGATCAATGCCAAGTGCATCACCACCACACGCTCTAAAAGCTGCTGTCACACCTGCTGTTCCACAAAATATGTCTAAAAGAAAAAGCTGTTTTCCAGAGTGCACTTCTGCATCCTTTAAACCTGCTTCTGCAAAAACGTCATGCTCCTTTGGAGGTGATTGTGTTGACTCTTTGTCACCAACACCACTGCTAACGTTGTGCACTTCTGCAAATGAGCAACCCGTGACCAAGCGCTTTCGCTTCGCCACCGGTTCGCACGGACGACTGTCGTCCATTTTGACAGCGGCTGTGCCACGCTTTCGTGATGCAGCCACAAGGTGAACTTCTTCCCTTGTAAAAGCCTTAGGTGGGCTTTCCATCAGCTCACTTGATAGTCAAGCACCTTGCTTGTGTGCAGTCACAAACGCATGCCTTTTGTTGCAGCCTTTCTTGCAACACATGTGGAGCCCCTTTGGGCAATCTGAACTGCTTGCACATGTCCCAAGGTTGAATGCAAAACACAGAGGCTGACCTTCGTCATTGCACGGAACACAACCGACCAACTTCTTGGGCATGGGTGTTCGCTTCAGCCGCTTGAGCTTCAACGAGTCTTGCTTGGTCTTGTTCGGTTCTGCTTTGTTCCGTTTCGGATCTGCATCGTTCGAGGGTTTGGCTGGCCCCTCTGTTGCGGGCTTTCCTGCTGCTTTCTTTGGCAATGGCATGAGCATCCATTTGAGCTCAGGTCCTTCCAAGATCCTTTTCACAGGGATGTCCAACGGGAGTTCACCAGCAGGTCCAGTCTTGAAGCCTCCCCTCGTGGCCTCCGCTAATCTCACATGCAACTCTCTATCCGCTGCAGCAACTTGTTGAAGGGTCACCTGTCCAAATCCTTCCATAGGATCCTTCTTCAGCTCAAAGAAAAAGTAGTTGATGATGGCCTCGTGCACCTCAAACGTCATTGCTTGTGCAATCTCGTAAGCAACACCTCGACGTCTCAAAGCGTTGTGGACGTCCAACTCCGTGTTCAGGGAAGCCACAATTGATGGTTCCTTTGTAGTGGCCTTGATAGTTCCCGTGCTGTCAGTTTTCCAAATCTTGAGGTCACCATCCTCTTTGATGTTATTGACTTCCTGGGTTCGAGAGGTGCACCGCGACCACTCAATGTACCTGACCCTGCCATCCTCCACACATTGAACCAAAGAGTTGATCAAATGATGTGACGGCTCCATGAAGTTCGCCACAATCAATGGCCTGATTCGAGTCTGAAGCATTTCCATTCTCTGCGCGATCTCTGGTGCAGGCAACTTCCTGGGAGCTTCTTGCTCTGTGGCATCAACTTGGCGACGAAGCTCTGCTGAAGTCAATGTGTGTGACTCGAAAAAGAGTCTACGAAGCTTAGGTGCAGCTATGTGGTCTGCTGCACCCAGCAATGGGATTATGACCCCATCCAGAAAAGCTTGCTCGTCTGCACCCGGTTGAGTCGCAACAGCAAATGCGTAGGTCCCATGACTGACCCAACCTCTCAATGCCATCGCCGCCACAACATCGTCTGGGACACCAATGCTCGTTGCTCTAGCTTCGAAAACTGCAGTGCTGTCGACCAGAGACATGGCTGTCGCCACTACCAACCCTACTAAATCAGAAGTGAGGAGGTATTGCAGCAATGAACTGCCGTTGTTTCCTCTGACAAAAACAAGCTTTCGACTGTTGTGGCAGTGAACATGAATCGCGATGATATGAAGTGATTACACATCCTTAAAAATTCACAAGGTCTTTCATCTTCCAGACACAGCTTTCTGTTCTGGAGCCTGTCCATGCAACGTCATGCATGGCTCATTCATGACCCTGTGGTCATGGCTTGCAAGTGGATTTCATGACACTCAATCTGACTGCTTTCAGTGCACTGTTCATGCTATCATGCAACAAAAATGAAACACACAAATTTCACAAGAAAACCAAGAGTTGTCGACGAAACTGACATCTGACAGGGATTCACTCTTTTGTGTCACTTTGCGGACAGCATTCTGTCGGCCCAAGATCCCAGCTCTGTACTGACGCTTCTGCCAGGTGTTCGGGCTCTGGGCTCTGCGCATAGTGATTTCTGCTGTCAAAACATCACACACTGCAAACTCACAAAGAAAACGAGTGAATGTTTGAAAACCATTTGTGGACAAATGACAAAAATGGCCGTTGCAACTGTTATTGTCTGAGCTCTGTGCACCCGACGCATCCCCTACTGCTGGACGCTTGTAGCAGCTCCCTCTGGGATTCTCTGTGCCGGGCATGCAACTCTCGACATGTGACATGAAACAGTTACAACATTTCAAACACTTGACATCACTTAACTGAAATCAATTGCGAACATGAACATGCAAAAAAAAAGACTGAGTTCCAAGCACGCCCTGAACTGCTGCACTCAAGTAACAGTGAAGTAGCGGTGCTCCAAATCACTTCTGACACGAAAATAGTACAGACGATAAGAATCTTATCGTCTGTATTTGTTTTTTGAGAACTCACGAAAATGCCAAAAAGAAAAACAGTTCAGTGAACACAAAACATCAACTGCCAGTGAAGCACCTTGAACATTTATAGGGCAGGAAATTGCCTGCCAAACGCACTTTCTCAAAATTCTTAGTTGCCAGCTTTCCGCACTTCAGCTGGATAGCTTCGCCATCATCAGGGTCAGTGTTGGCGTTTCGTGCAATGTGGCAACACCCACTGAAGACATGTCTGAACACTTCTGTCTCTACTATGTCATGCTCTAAGGCCAACGCAAGCTCTTCACCTACTATCGGTGCGGCCACTTCGGCCTCTCGCTCCTCGTCCGAAGAAACGAGATCCCTACCAAGCACTGGCTTCTCGCTCAATTCACTGATGGAAGAAATTGACTCAACACCAGATTGACTGCCATCATAATGAGAAGGGGAATAGGGTTCAGACGGTGGACCAAAGCAGTCCATGCCTTCCTGTATATCATCAGTCTGACTCAGGTCAGGTTCAAGTGCTGAACTCTGATTCTGATAACAAAATTCTTCAGCATCAATGTTTGCAAGAAACTGCATTACAGCTTGTAAAGAATTGCAACCCTTCCGAGGCCAACGCTTAGCTCTGGACACATCTGGATCAAAAAGACCTTGATCGATAGCAGTTGCTACCGCACCCATTGCCATCAGCACAGGAGCCTGTGCATCTCTGCTGTACTCCAAAGCCATCTTTGCAGATGGGTCAGTGTGATACCCAGCCAATCGTCTCAGGTCTCCATCGCATCCAGCCTTTGTTAAAATACTGAGCCATGTTGCCTTCAAAGAATGCGTCCCTATCTCCATAGGGTTTGACATCGGTGCCAAGTCCCTCAACAGCTCTCGCACCCAGGTCGTTGCTTGACTCGGCTCCAGTGGTATTTGAGCCCAGCCCCCTCCTGAGAGGGGGGCTGGCATTGTCGGCAATCCTGGTCCCGCCACCAGACCTTGATCGCGCCGTCTCCACAGCCAAGGTGTAGCCCAATCCACGCCAGAGAGACCTGGCAAGTTGCAAGCTGCCGGCAAAAGCCTCTTTGCATGTTTCTGTCGTCCTGCATTCTTGTGGTGATATAACTGACACTCCAGGTAGCCCTTACCATCGTGCAAATCTGTAAATGGCTCAGTTTGACAATACTGTCCATCTGACCATCTCAGTCTCATGTGTAGGATCATGCACACGTATCCACAGAAGACTGCCTCAGGTCCTGTTCCAGAAATTGCAACGTGCTCCAGAAAACGTACCTGTGCAATTGTCAGTGGGGTCTTCTTCTTCGGAACAAACAAGGGGGCAGTCGCTGCACCCTTAACTCTTGACGACCTCAAAGTGTTCCCAACATCAGCTCCCAGCAAATGGTGTGCAAAAGAAACAGCTTCCAAGAATCTCGTCGCCCTGGTACGAGGTGCATTGTGTTCCCTGAGTTCACGCACATATGTATATGCCTGCAATTCCGACATTGGAAAGATCGGTGCATCTGGAGTTAAACCTTTTCTCCATCGACCATAAGTCAACAACGACGAAGACCGTGCCCTTAAGGTCGAAATTGATTTGCCAGAGAGTACATCTGAAATGGTCTTCTCAACTGACTGTGACTGAGGGTCTCCAGCAAGTGCATCTTCAATTTGTTTGCCAACCATAGATCCCTGCAAATTGTCCATGAGGATGATTCTCCATGCTTCAAGCGCCCTTGCAAGAGCTCGATCTTGAGCAATTGGCCAAGGGATCAACGAGGTCTTACGTGACCATCTGATCTGGCCTTCAGTTTCAACACGTGGGATGTCCACCGTCTGCTCTGGTGCTGTGAGTACGGGCACATAGACAGGTGGTTGTATCAACCTAGCTCGCTTTGCAAAAACAGGGTTCAAAGGCTCTCTCTCCCACGGCAACTTGATTCCAGACCTTTTGACGCCTAACTGGAAAGCAGAAGCATGCATCAGGAGATCCATTGCCAGCAAACAACCTACGAAACTCACTACCCCCATTTGAACTCCGGGTAGTGAGAACTTTTATCCCACCCACCCTCCCTTGAAATTTAAAAACGCGGTGAACGACTTGTCATAACATTCCACATGAAGAAACTCACAGCACACTGAAGTTGGACATGTTAAGAAGTTCAGGACCGCAAATTTCAAAAACAACTTCAAACCACAAAAGATTCAAGTTGTTTAAAACGGAGGTTTCAGAAGTCAATCTTCCAGAAACTTCGAAACGCGAACGCGGAGGGGAGGACGCAGCACGCGTAAGGAAGAGGACGGTGGCTCACCACCTGTGAGCTCGGTTTTATAAAGGCTCATCACTAAAGTGAGACGCAGCTTGTTTTCTATGCTGTTGTTTGAGCATGAAATCTGCCCTGCCGCAGCCATCTCTTCTTATGCTCAAATTGCCCGTGCTGCATAAGATGTACATGTCACATAGCTCACACACATGCACCCGCACGCAGATCCTCATTAACTCAATTTGGTAAATATGGTGTCTTACCCCCCGAATCGGCGGCTATCGAGCACTATACATTTGCGTGATTCCCCTTTTGTGTTCTTTGTGTTCTTCTCTTGGTTGGTGACTGTAGGAGAACGACTATTCTGTCGCTACTATGAGTATGATTCACGAGAGTCTAGAGTTACCTTTGGGGACTTAGGCATGAAACATCTTGATGTAGTCGACGGGGAGCTGGCAGCAGTTCCAGTGGAAGAACGGCCAGCTGCAGGCACCATTGGACAAAATATTGAACTGGTCATACTCAAGCTGCGATCGCCGGACGCCGAAGTATGGACAGCTTGCACAGCAACGGCCGCAGCGGCTGGACTTGATAGCACTCAATACCAAGAGTATATTCTGCTCTCCAATGGATTGATACAACGCACTCCATGCAATTGCACCCTCACTGACGAGGTCATCAGTTATATCGACGATCAGCTGATAGATCAATTGGGTTCCGAGAGCATCAACATTACCGATTCCTCTACGGTTCGAGTGGCAACAGTCTTCGTCCAACAAAGTTATACAGAGCTTGCCTGCTTTCGCTCCTTCTTCTAAGCCACACAGTCTACCACAAGCTGACGCCTTGTAGAAAACATGACGTGGCGAGGCGCAGAGTGGAAAGACAGTGCACCTGCTTGCTACATTCCATCATATCAATGACATGTGTACCCCGGAGGAACTTTGCATATCAAGTAGATCAGGCTGTTGCGTGGCATGAATGCAAGTCAACAGGTGCGAATAGCGCAGGAATACACTGCATATTGCTACCTTTCGGCTCAAATTGTCCCCTGCCCCAGACCCATTGGTGAGGCGAGGGCTCTCACACTTCTGGCCGTAGACTGGTTCAGGGGTGTACCCTCTCCTTACCCTCCCCCCCCCTCTCTCTTTCCCTCCCCGTCTGCCCTCCCCCCTCATTTCTCTGCGGTCTGCCCGTCTTACTGCCTCGTTGCCCTCTCCTATTTCCCCTCTGTGTCGCTCCCCATTGCCTGTACCCTCTGCCTTGCCACCTTGCCAGCCTATCCTGCCTGGTATACCTGGCACCTTGCTCCGTGTCATCTCTACTGATCACTTCACAGCCGGAACGGGAGTAGCCTGTGGCAATAAGCAGATTCATCATGACGCAATGGATTGGGGACAATTGGAGATTGAAGGCAGGCCCCCAGCTTGGTCCTATGAACAGCAACAAGCAAGCTGAGGGTACAACTACAGAAAGTGACCCAGAACTCCGACGTTGCGGCTACAAAGAATCCTTTGTCCAAGAATACGATGGTATCAAAGTGTATCATCATCAAGGCAGATATCAGCATATCGGCCCGCAAATCTATTCTTGGGCTTTCTATGAATACCGTATGGTCATCAACTCGGAATGTTGGAACATCATTATCGATGAGAACATGAAGGAAGTCCCAAGCAATTTCCCAGGCTCCAGCTCCGTCAAGCTTACGCATGACTTTTGCCATGCTGATTCCGAGAATAGTGATGATGTATGTACCAACTTCAGTTTTGTAGAAATGGGAGGCCGCACAATATGGCCCTTTTATACAACCGAGTCCTTCCAGGAGGACCTATGGATCTGGGTTAGCCCTCGCAGATTTGCCATCATCTCCAACCATCCGCACAATGAAAAGTTGAACCACTTCTATTCGAACAAAATGCACGAACACTACATTCTAGCCAACAGAGCAAAGTGCTGGAACACCTATGTGGTGGAAACCGATGGCAGCAAGAAGAAGGACTGCCTCATTGCCCTCAATGAAGACACAAGGATTTGTTGGGCCTCTCAAGAGACCTTCACTACCGGCTTTGAGGGCAAGTATGATATGCGACATATGGCACGCAAAGAAGAAATCCCTCATGGCAAACGCAAATATTCAGACCCTGCAGGGCAAGGCAGTGCAAAACCCTTTGATGCCACAGGAACCTATAGTGTCCGTGACATGCAAGCTCTAACTGCCACCTTTGCCAACCCAGCTAATGCGGCCTTTCTAACCCCTGAGCAAGCCAAGAGAGAGGCAGTGGCTGCGCAATGGACATGTGGACAAGTGCCGACCAGCGGGGAATCGAACCACCACCGGTAGTCTGTCCGTGGTGCGACCTAGCTATTCATGTTAATTTGTTTTCAATCTACTTCCCACTGAACATATCCTAGGCTGACTCCTTCCACTGCTTGTCTCCGTTACCTCCCTAGCCTCCGAATCTTTTTGTGTTTGCATCTGGGCTCAAACCACTGATCTTCACTCATCAATCGTCTAGCAGTTTCCCTTTATAGGTGTGAAGGTTGTCGTGCTGCAGGCTTGTTAGGACTACCCCCGACTGTCAACCTCCTACTAACTACTTGTCAATTTGAACGACCTGGCGGAAGCCATAAGGCGTTGGACGGAAAGAAAAAAATACTAACTACTTGACAATCTCACTAGGTATATCTCAATGCGTCTCGTGGTGCGCCATGGTATCAATGGTAAAGAAGAGCTGGTCATACAGGTGGCGGCTACTGCTCCTGTCGGATGGGATATCATGAAACAGTTAGCCTGGAGGCTTGCCTTAGATTCACCTTTTCAGATTATCCTCTACCTGAACAGCACAGCAATGCTGGGCCGGTGTCCATCAAACCATCATTCCCAACGGGCCTTTTTCAGGTCGGAGGCTTTCATATTCAAAGTTTTGAACAGCCTTGGAGCCAGCCGATACTTACCCTAGTAGAGAGGCCTAGCATTGATCACGGTCTACTCCGCAAACACGTGACCCTCCACCCACATCACCGCCAGCTGATCGAATCCTATCTCTCCCCGTGTCTACCGCAAAACTGCAGTATCGAAATTGACTATTCCCCCAAAAGCTGCCGACAACCATGGACGAAGATATTGCTGCACCATAGGAGGCCAGCGACTACCGAGGGCTGCCAGGCTTTTATTGTTCGGACGGAATCATTGCGAAATTGACCTCAAAGGGTCTTTTTATGAACTTG